GAAAAAAAAAAGTGGAATCACGCATGTATATGCATATCAAGCTTATAAACTAACCATCAAAAAGGAGCCATAATACCACTGATAAATGTTTTAACACACAATTCAATGATCCTTTAAGTAATAGATTTGAAAATGTAAAACTGTCTGGGCTATAATCACACAACATTGATTAAGATTCAAAATGGCTAATCTTTACAATATTTAACTGTAGTAATTCCAACTTTTTTCTTACAAATATTGGAAAATTGGCTACACTGTTGTATTGATTATGCTTTCCATAAGAATTTTTGTGCCTTTATACCAAAGAATGAAAGACACATGAATACATCATGCATGTATACATATATATATATATATATATATATACATATAATCTAGTAAATATTCATTACACAGATATAATTTACGATACGTTACCATTACATATTATGGTGACATCTTACTGATAGTTTTATTTTTTAAATTACTGTATTACTGAAATATGGATAGAGAGAGAGAGAGTATCTGTATTTCATTAGACAGTAGCTGAAGAACTTCAAAGTACAGAAAATATTTTTAACAGTCTTAAAATGTTCAGGTACTAAAAATTCGATTCTAGAAGATCACATGCACTTTATACAAATGACAGATAAGGATAGAGAAAAAAAACTTTACAAGCTTCAATTCACATAGATCCTTTCAACAACACTTACTGTAGTTTTTATGACACTGCCAATAAAATTACACTAAACTAGAAAAATATAGTAATTGTTGAAATGTACTTTGAACATTCTAAAATTAGCATTTTATGAAATGGTTCACTTTTGGTTCTGTAATGTTCAGATAAAACCTGTGAATGAAAGATAGAATGTACTGGCATGGATTTTGCTAGAAAGTTCACATTTTATCTTACGTTAAACACTTTACATTTTTAAAGCAAATTTCAATAAAAGTACCATAATAGAAACATTTAGATCTTATTTTAAACATAAATCATTACATCTCTGATATCTTCTGTCTTTAAATTTTGAAATGCATTTCATGGATACGAGCACCATATCAATTGGTAGTATTTTCCATCATCTCAGGGTGAGGATAATTAGTTTAAAATTTTCCCACGTGCAGGTTTTCAAGTCAAAAAAAAAAAAAGAAGAAGAAAAAGTAAATTACAAAGCTTTATCATACATTGTGTACAAAGTTGGTCAAATTTGTTACTGAAGTATAATGAAAACTGGATTTAAAACTCAATTGTTTTAGCTCACAAAACATCAAAATGCTGACCTACTGGAGGATTTGGTCATGTTACTTTAGATAATACATACAAGTACCTATAAAAATGACCAAAAATAAATATTGAGAATAAAAAACAGGTACTTTTATGAATGACATTTATACATTTAATTAATAATGGAGAAAAGCCAGAGATGCAAATAAAGTAAATAATTTTGCAGTGAACTCTTATCACCAACATTATTTTCTTGCTACAACCATTGGAAAATGCATTTGTCAACTTTTTTGTATAGTTTAAACTACTTTATAGATATTTTTAAACCACTCTTAACTGTAATTTTCTGAATAAGTTCTCACAGAAGATAAAAAATCCAATTTATGCATTCATGTCATATTCAAAATGTGATATTTTTGAAACAACATAAGCCTAATTTTTTATATAAATACTGAGCTAATGGCCAATATATTGAACCTAGTGGTGGTATTTTTAAAAAACACATTACATGAGGTCATTTTCAAATTGCCAAGAGTCAATGAAAACTATTTTATGACCTGTTCACCATCACATGTAATCAGAAAGAGTAGATAATTGTTTACTATTTTAGCTTTCCTTTTATGCTACAAAAAAGTAATTTGTTTCAAAAACTCACCTATATATTATTATAGAAGTTACAATATTCCCAAAATAGGCCCTCTTCAAGTACTAAAAATCTTACATAAAACCTTAACAAAAGATTTTATATAGAAAAAACAGTGACACAACAAAAAAAAAAAAAACAACGAAAAAATTATTTTTTGAGAAAAAAAAATCTTAGAATCAGCTCTTAGTGAATTTCTCAATAAGAGCTGTGAAAATTATTGATATTGTCAATGTTGTGCAACTTCTGCTGTGCACCATGCATAATTACTGATGTCAGCTAAAAGTAACTACTATGTTACAGAATTCTGTATGTTACAACACTGTGAGAGAGTATCATTTCATTATAAATTAATTAGAATTTAAATAAGTATTGAAAAATATACAGTATTTGCTAAAAACAATTATCAATAAACATATACATGTATGAAAATCTCACACATAAGTTAATCAACAGAGAATTATTCATAAATTCCATTAAACACAGAATCTTTTGACAGACCCTTAAAACCATTATTATATACTGTGCTAATACAATTTGCTATTTTAAGTATAACTAACCACCTTGTCTAGACTTTCTTTTTAATATAAAACAGAGCTTTCTATAAACTACAGAGAGCTCAGTCATGTTTTATTTACAGTACAAAGAACAAGACTACTTTCATTAAACTAATAATCTTACAGAATTAGGATGAAGCATTGGTACATTGAACCATTTTTCCAAAATATAAAGCCTTATTTTTAGTTCAGTGAGTTATCCTTTACATGTTTTGAATATGTTTTCACTATAGTGATCAACTTCCCTAGACTTATAGATTCTGGATTTAGAAGATTTAGAACACTGAGCCATTCTTTATATATCTATGTTGTGTTTTTATTGTAATGAACAAATCTTTCCATTAGGTACTGATTTAGTGCAATGACCACAGATTCTGATTTTTGAGATAGTAAACCAATATATTTTAAAGAGAGTTTCTGATCTTGCACACTAGATCAGCCTTTTTATTTAAATTAAGTTCAGTTTTTCATTTAAATCTATAGTTGGTTAATAAAGTAACGACTTTTAATTATATGTATACTCTTATATTTGTATAATCACCCAGTCTTCATATTCTTTTACACTTAGATTCTGGTTTTGGTACAGTGAACCAAATTTAGATTCTGAGTTTGGTTCATTAAATAATGCTTTCTAAATATAGACT